TTGCTGACATCCAAGGACCCATTGTTTCTAAGACAACGAACCAAGAACCTCATGTAGTCATTCTGCCACCCAAATTCTTTGTGGAAAGAAAGGGTGAAGCCCAAAAATATGCTTTCTTTTTGTCATAGTACCCTTCCAACTGCCACGTATAAACTCACGACAAATATGTTTTCCCCAGATCTAATTAACAAGAAATTGGAGGTAAGGGATAAAACAGCCCAGCCCAGAAAATACTTATTAGCAGTCCTAATCACAGTGTATGTTGAAAGAATGAGCTTGGACATACAGATCGAGGAGAGAAGAGAGCTTGCAAGTGTAGTTATGGAATCTTGCCACTCTTCCACGCCTGTGTTTCTACTTCTGCTAATTCATGTTGTCTGCCTGGCATTTAGCGGGTTGAGGCTAATCTCCAATTGGGCTGGGAAAATCACTCACCAGAGGAAGCTATCAGATCGCTACAGCCTCCATTACGGCTGCTTGGGGCCACACACACCACAGTACAGAGATAGCAGTAGCTGCTTAACACCCAGACGGGCCAGTCAATACTCTGGCTGCAGGGGACTGCTCCAAATTTCACATTATTCAGTTTTGGTTGTTAACTTAAATGTCATGGTTGGTCATCATGTTCGAACCTTTGGCTTTGAAAAGTTTGAGCTCTGGCTCTCCTCCAATTCCCAATTCAATATCAATTCAATTATTATTTGTAATACGCGCCAATTCATAACAGAGTATCTCACAGGACACTTTTCAAATAGAGCAGGTCTAGACCGAACTCATTTATAACATTAATTTACATAGAGCCCAACAGTACGCCCATAGGCAAGCCAGCCTTGGCTCATGGACAGTATTTAAATGTTCTGTACTGCTTATTAATATTAAAGAGAGATTAAGTGCAAAGTAATGTTTATCACACCTACTCAACCGCCCCAACAAAGCCCCCAAACCACCAATCATTTGTAAAGGAGATACCATATCTGCTTTAAAGAGTCCAATGACTTATATATTATTATACATATTCAGAAAATCCTTTTTTTTCTTCTAGAAAAAACGGTTAGATTTCAATGAATAAATTGATTCCCCTTTTCTTTTAATACCGAAGACTTTTAAACCAAGAATTATGCGTCTCCAGGATACAAATTTTAATCCATGAAAAAGGCAGACAAAAGCAGGCTTCTCATTTGTAGCTGGCGAAGCACAACATGGTGAAATAATAGCTATAAATAAGGTGAAAAGACCAGCATTGTCATTAGTGCTGCATTGGCCAAATTAGCCAAGCTATGATCTCAGACAAAACATTGTGTTACAACATAAAACTTACATCCTTAAAATGACTGGCTGCCTGATCACTGTGTCTTCTGACAAGTAGGAGGATAAAAAGATAATCACTGTTGTGCATTTGAGTGTACTTGTGAATTTATGACAAGTAGCTTCTCATAAATCACTTTTCTGGATCCAATCCTGACAATAGTTGTGTTTGTATAAATCCTTGAGGGTTGTCTTTGACATGTTAACAGCTCAGAGTAAGTTTATGCATATTTGCATATATGAATGACATGACATGACAGGAGTATGTGCTAAAAGTAACAGGCTCTCACCTGAAGCTAATGCATCCATCAACATCCAGGGGGTACACGGCAGGAGAGAGAAAGAGAAAGCGAGAGAGAGAGATAGGAAAAGAAAATCAGAAAAAAATGTAGATAGACAAAAATACAACAATAGGGGAAAACAAAGAAGAGCAACGAGACATTTGCCTTTTCACCAGGCTTTTGCAGATTACAGTATTGTACTTTTAAAATCCCTAATCTACGTTCAGTGCTTGTCTGCCTCACAAGCCACAACTATCAAAAAAAAAAATTCAGGGAACTGTACAGGCAGACAGCGGAAAGTAATGGGAGCAAACAACATCTTTACAATCATTTTAACAATGGAGACACAACCGTGCCCCTCTGCAGTGTGCAGAGAAACAAGCAGACAGCTTTTGAGAGGAAAATTGCCTGTAAATTAAAGCAGTACAATTGTGTATATAGAGACACATGAAGCTGAGCTGTGATGGCGCAAACAGCGGGGGTTGCAAAATGCTGTCATTGGATCTTTCTGTTAACACTGCAGTATATTGTGGGGGGTATTGTGTATCTGGGAGAGTCTGCATTACTAATTCAGAGAGACTGCTGTGTAAAATAATTCTGATTTTAATCTGAACTCATCTCATTTTTTAATTTAACAGAGTAACATACAGCCAGACCTTTCCAAGAATGTGTGATATTTTATTTTTTATGTGTATGCATGCAGGTGTAAAACATGCGCCTTCATGTATGACATATATACTGCTGTATACTGTACACACACAAGAATGTGTGCATGAACATACGTGCATGTCCACATCATTATGCATGTGTACATTTGTGTGTTTCTTCTTTATACTATTAAAAATTTCTTTATTTTGTGCATGAAAACATTGGACAGTGAGTTGTTTGTCTGTACCTTCCACATGCTGGCCTCTTTCCCGTACACTACAGCCATGTCGTTCACTTTGTTCTGCTGGATGCTCCTCTTCTCAGTCTCATTCAACTCCTCCGAAACAAAGCCCATGAACGAGTTGTCTGGTGTGTGAGCTGAACGTGTGTGTGTGTGAGTAGGACGTAAAGGCAGGATGGTAGTAAAGAGAAAGAGAACAAAACACAAAGAGAAAGAAAGTTTCATTGTGAGTGAGAGACAGACAGGAAAGACAGAAAAAGAGCACTACATCCTTGTTCGCTTCAGTTCAATGGCTAAGTTAGAGTGATAATTGGCTCTTTAAGTATTATAAATAGTGACTGTCATAAAGCCAGCTGCTATTGGCTATGCAAGATGTTTTTGGCAGTAGTATGGTGTGCTGAAATGGTTTTCCAAGTTATAGTTATTCCATATATTCCAACTATTTACTCTTGTGGAATTACTTTTCCAAACCAATTATTTATTCCAGCCTCACAGTTCCTTGCAGTAAACATTTTCATATATTGAATAAAAGAAATAAATGGCGGGTGGTGTTGTATGAAGCAGTTGATAAAGGTTGAGTCAGTCATAATAGCTAAGGATAGCGTGAAACGTGTCTACAGTAGGTCACATACGATCCTGCTGTAGAGTGCCAACTATACAGTGGCTGAAAGGGCATCACATCGTTGAAAAGAGAATATGAGAGCAGAAGAAGAGTTAAGTAGTCAAGGTTTCAGTCAGGAGCAACAAGGGCTTGGATCAGATCAGATATAATGTGTAGCTTGAAACAGAAAGAAAAAAAGCAAAGAAAAAAAGAATAACTTGAAGGGACGCTAGAATCTGTGATGGTGCTGAAAATAGCTGCATTAGACACATTACTCCAAATTAATGTGAACAAGCAGCCACACCTGTCAAAGAAAGTGAAAACATAGAATTGGAGTCATTTTTATCATTTTTAGAATGACTGTCAAAACCTGATGACAGATCTGTGTGTGTCTGACAGTTGAAAGTTTTAACTTTCATGTTTTGAAGTTGATAGATTGTTTCACGTGTTGAAAGATATGAGGATATGTAAAAAAAAAAATGTTTGTGCATCCTATTTATAATGTAAGGTGTAAATCAATATTATCAATTGATCAAACCATGGGTATACTGCCAGTATACATACAAGTGTGTTACAGTAGATGAAAACTAATTAGAGAAGTGTTTTTTGTTCTTACGGAACATAGTCATATACTGCCGGGCGTTGAGGTTCCAGTAGCCCCAGTTGGTCCGGTAGCCGTGCAGCGTTGCATACTCCTCATGATTGTAAGCTGGTTCTGTCCCAAACGTGTCAATCACTCGGATGTGACATCTGTAAAGACACAGAACAAACACTTCAAAATGGGTCTCCCAAATATCAGAAAAACTTTGTTTTAAACCCCCTGTCAAAACCATAAGCATTAAACATTTAAAATGCAACACTAATAACTCTCACATTTAACAAACAAACACATTTTCTGAGGTGTAGCTGGAAAATTAGACATTTTCTTGATTCTGCATCACAATATTATCATTTCTGTTCTGAGCTTGAAAAATCAGACAAATCTGAGCTCTGCTTCATTTACAGGATAAAAACGGAGGGTCGTCCCAGTTGCTCACTATATTACACACCAGGTTTACACAGATTAAGAGCACAAACTGAATGCAAGGCGCAACACAAATCTGTCTTGTACTGAAGTTAAATAAAAAATCTGGCCCTGTGTGGTATAAATCGTTCTTTTTCCAGCTTAAGAGGCTTAATGGCAGAAAACCACACAAATAATATCTGCAGGATTGTCAAAAGTAAAAAAATAAATAAAATATATAAAAAAATAACACCAGCAACCAGCAGTTTTGCCTGCAAGTTGCCAAGTGCCGTGTGGGAGGTTTGACAGGAATAATAAAAAAAAAATCACTTTGAGGTTTAGAGGTTGGAGTTGAGATAGGGCACTGATATGGTTTACAAGTGAATGCTTAGTTGCACAGCACTGAAGCACTGAAATTTTGCATCATCACACATAAAACAATCATACAGACACACACATATGTGCTCTTAAACATACACACGCAGAAAGCTTACTATGTTCTTGTCTCTATCAGTGAGTGTGTTCAATCTGGCCAGTCTGTGAGCTCAGGGGGATTAATAAGAGCTCAAGGTGGCAGAGTCCACTTCCTCCGCTCTGAGACTCTTTTCTGGCAGATAACTGTGTGTGTGTGTGTGTGTGTGCGAGAGAAAAAAGAGTGACATAACATTCTTCATCAAAAAGTAACTGTTTCATGGCACACCACTGGCCTTAAAGCTGTACAAAGGTATCTATTTCCACATGCTAACGTTCTTACATATTGAAGAAGTGACATTCAGAGCATTATCCTTTCCCTTGCATGTCTTCTTGTAGTTTAGTTAGTGATTTCCAATATATCCTGAATTATTGTTCAGAAACTGCAATAATGGGCCATGATGTTGTGGCTTTCAACAAATAAAGATGTGAATTTAATTGTTAATTGATCTGTTTGGTAATAAACATGTAATTAGAGGTAGGTATAGCAATAGTGATTGTACATGTGAGGGACTGTTATTACATTTGTACATTGGTATGATGTATTGGATTTTATTATGAAATGGTTCTTCATCTTACTACATAAACTTCAGATTGTGGCTCCATTATTAGATACAGAGTAATACTGCAATATTTTAAACTTTTAAGGATGTCCCTCCACTGATTAGTTTTACAGCTCAACCTTTATAGTAAAATTAGCATGGCTAGCAAGTCTACAAAAAAACTGTCCTACAAATGCCATTGGCTGTCACATGACCCTTGCCTTTCACATCATAGCGTCCCTACTCAAATACAACATGTCTTATAGTTATTCTGTTTTATGGTCTATTGAAGCTGCTCACAGTGGAGAAATTGCTTTCCCTGTCTGTTCGATGATAGATATCTTACTGCATACTTGTTGGACATCGGTGCAAATGGTGAGGGACAATTTGATTCTTATAAGCTGACAGCTTTAAAATATTTATTCTTACATTCCTGTGTTATGGCTGCACTTGAGTCAGGTGTCATGTTTTCTACACTTGAGGCACTTAACAACGTGACTGTTTTAGCTTTAATTTCCTTCTCTTTGTTGAACTAGTGATGCTAAAACTAATGTATTGCCAGTCTTGTGTGTCACCCATAATTGCTGGCTCTCTCACAATTTGATTTCTTGGAGCAGCATTTAGCTTCATATTCAGGCATGTTCTGAACTTAAAGACAGGGTTTGGGTTATTGTTTATATATTTTCAGGAGCTTTAATGCAGAAAAAACAAAAATATTCTTCTCAGGGCATTCCAGTCTTGTTAAAGACAAGGTGACACTGCAATCTTGCTCGACACTTCTCAGATATTTCTGTCATCGACTACTGTGATACATCTCCGAAAGGAGCTTATAAAAACAGGCTTATCTGCAAGAGGGAGTCAAAAAACGTGCACTTATCTGTGCTGCCTTATTTTGAGGCACTCGGGATGAGATCCTGCGGAAAATGTTGTGCCTATTTGTAAGGGTCACAGAAAGCTGACAATGAATTATTAATAAGAAATGTTAGTTTCACTTGTCTCTGCCCTGTCTCCCTTTCTCCATCTCTCCAAACTGCACTATCACATATCGCCAGTTCTGAAATGGTGAAAATGTTTCTGCTCGCAGATAAGAGGTCCCAAAGGGATGGAAAAAAGAAGGAGAGGAAGAAGAGGGGATAAGCAAAGGAGTAGCTGAGCTGAATATCTATCGGGAGATCAGAGTATGGGGCTAATCTGGGTTAAACGGCTGCTCTACAAGGCTCACCAGTCCTCAGGGTTGAGGGGAATATGGCAGGCTGGTGTGTGGTCACCCACAGTTTCAGCTTTGGCTATGGGGAGTATTAAGAAGATGAGTTAAATTGGACAACAATCAACACTAATTTTAAAACAGTTTTTGTTATTATATTGCTCCGGCCTGCCAAATATATGGTTTGTAATATGTCAGCAGACCACTGGGTAAACAACATACCTGCTATAGAATCTGCTTTGCGGAAAGGTCTTAAAAATGTTGTTAAAATCTGCTGCTGTGTCACAGATGTAATCAGCACCCTTAACATATTTGAACACACTTTAAAAAGAAGATGAATACATAAATGATTGCTTTTACGTGTTCCTAACAATATTACCATTTCAGTCAGAGACACGTCAGGGAATTTAACATTTTGGGGAAAGGCTCTGCTCTTTATGGGAGCGCTCAAAGAATACAAGCACCAAGAAGATTCTGCAGAGAAAGCTAATCCACACTTTAATAAAAATACACAAAGTTTAAATCTTAGTTTAATTCACAACACAAAGAACATAGCACATCAGGAGGAGGTTGGGGCGGTGGGGGGATTTAAAGCATGAAACAGCGTTGTATTTGAGCATGAGTCAGCAGAGTAATAGTGACAGGTGCAGTACACCTGAATGAATATGATTGTTATTGATCAGTTGGAAGCCATGCGGCTAATGAATGAGCCACTGACTGTAAAGCATAATTTCATCCTTTGCCCGGCTCCTGAATGTCAGCAAGACGAAGGAGGAAGCTGGACAGGAATTACTGTCACATTAGAATCAACAGTCTTTCCCCGAGTTACTGAGTGAGTGATGAAGTTACAACAATCGGTTAAGTTTCCCCATTGGGTATTACTGTTTTAAAATGAACAGATGCAAACAGTCCTCAAATATATTGTCAGGAACACATTGACAAATGATTCATGTGACAACTAATTTAACTAATGCTATTATTCATTAAATTTAGGCATCAGATAACTTACATTTAAGGCAGTACTGGGGTCCACCACACCCCTCAGATACTCAATGCAGCAGACACAACACACAAAAACATACCTCCATTACAAATACAAATCTTTTTGCCTGTTTTAGTTTGCTAATTGCCTGAATAAAATGTAACAGTCTTTTTATTTTATATTTTGCCAACTCAGGCTGTACTTGAGGTCCAGAGACTGTCAAGAGGATACAGATGTGTTGGCCGGTTGGCTGTCAGTGGACCATTCCTAACACACCCACATCAGTAGGTGACACCCAACGCAGTGGTAATGTAATAGATTCAAGATATCCTTTCACTGCTTGAGTGAAAGCATTGTGCTGCAGAGTTATCTGCTGATGGTGTCAGTTTACTGCTGTCAAACCAAAAACCTCTGCCCTGTTTCTCTCTCTTTGTTTTCATTTCTGTCTTTCTCTGGTTTGCTGAGCTGTTGACAATCAAACACATTTTTTATATACAAAATGTCACTATTATCTGTCAAATTAACACAGAACTTTATAATTGACTGCACATTTGTTGCAGCATTTTAGTAACATCTGTGTGGATAATTAGCTTTAACACAGTTGTCGCACCTCAGGACATGCGGTAATCTTAGTGGTTAACAACTTGTGTGACAGACGCATTACAGTTTGTTAAATAAAGGCCATGTGCTCTTATAGAATGTTGTTCAAAGAAAGGTTAAATTGACATGTGAAGTAGAAATAAAGAAACAAGAAATGTTGCTAACTTTTGCTATAGGCAGTTTTAAATTGTTCATATGTTATGCTGTGTACCTTTATCTTAGTGACTCCTTTCTTTCAAAGAGCAGTGATGTGTACAATCTATCTATTCATCATTTCTTTAGCAGATGCTGCGGCTTACTCCCAATGCTACACCCAAAGTCTGTGTTAGACTTTGTAAAGTTTCAGCAAAGAGTTTTGCTGTGAAACTCAAACCGGGGTGGCTTTTTAAATGTTTTCATTGCTCTTGAAAGCAATTTTGGGGGAAAATACCACTGAAAGATACAAGGGTACAGAGCTGGAAAGAGGCCAAAGAACATGCCAGGGATTATAGATAATAATTATGTCAAAAACGCTGTTTAAGTGTTGTCAAGGGGCCTAAAGACTGTGCCCCCAACAGTACAATTTGTAACAAAAAACTCAACAAATAGCCTGAACACTCTTTAAAATTAGAAGAAACATTTGGATTTTTGAAATAATTCCCCTTGCAGCATGAAACAGTCATTTAATGTTGCACTGGGTACCCATAGGACAACAGTAACTATGGATAAGTATTCTTAATGAATTAAAGTGAGTTTGGCCAAGATGACAACTCTACCATGATCAAAACAAACAACCAGCTACTGATACATCTATGAATTGTGCTCTTTTGCTAGCTAAAATAAAGTTAAATTGTTACTGATGTCTCTCCAAAGAGTCAGCAGGCTCCAGGGAAGTACAGCCACTCTAGCTCATCTTGTATAAGGTTTTTTTTGTTTGTTTGTTTTTTTGCAGGCCTTCCCTTGGATATCTTCCCCGATCCGCCTCTATCAGAGCAGTAAATTCAGCATGCAGAGGAAATCAATATGCTAGTCCTATTATCAGATGAGTGGGTGTGATTTAAGACTATCTCCTATTGGCTATCAGCATCTTTAACAGCAGCACCCATGGACTGATACACCCTCGCGCGCACGCACACACACACACACACACACACACAGACATGCAAACACACAAACAAAACAACACACCCGACAGGACAGCAGTGTTGTCCAGGCATAATAAATGAACGTGGATGTTGGTTGGAACATAAAACAAAAGTAATTAAAGGGAGCTGAAGGGCCCCAAAGCTCAGAGCACTTGATTAATTATGCCTTTCAGCACACAGGGCTCAACTAGACTGGTCTACCCTGACGAAGCGAGAAGGAGGGGGAGAGGGAGAGAGAG